AGTTATTGTTACTCTTTTACAAACAAGGAAACCAGACTCAGAGAGGTTCAATAATCTGCCCACATCCCTTTTGAAGTCAGGCCCTCAGACTTTAATCCCAATGTTTCCTATTACATCATGTTGCTTTGTAAAGTCCTTTGAGTAAAGACGGTGCCCTCTTTTGTTTGATTTAGGAAGCAGCCCAGTGAAGCTTAGTGATTTATATTCATTTCTAAAGCAAGTAGGTGGCAGCGTGCTAGATTAGGTGAAGGTTGAAAGGAAATATAAGACAGGGTCCCAGGAGTTGCTGCCTTGTCAGTAAAACAGCACTCATACACATGAAATGCTTAAAGAAAAATATAAGAATCCATCTTATTTTTGTCATAAGAACTAACTGATTTCTCTACAAGGGAATATCAGATGAATACAGTTCATTGCAACACTGCCTTTTCAACAGCAAGTGAAATAAACACAAAACCTAGCAAGATAAAGTTTACTTTTTGGATGTGTACCTATAAGCAAAGAACAGAATGACTGATTTAGTTAATGGAGAAGAAGGACTTCCCAGGATTGGAGAAGAATGAAGAAGAAAGAAAAGCAACCTACTCTAATAGTAGAACTGGGAGAGGCATACATTTCAGGTAATGTATGTTTACAGGATCCACTAAGGGATGGGGTTTGTGATGAGAAACCTTTAGACATTTTCACATTTGTCCTCACTTGTCTGTCTGGGTTCCTCTGTGTGGATTTTTCTCTGTAGAAGATGAGACTAAATAACTTTTCACATAGTTTTGTGATTTAATGATCATTTTACCTGCCATATTTATAAGGACACAAAGACATTTTTATTCTTTCATCAGCTGGTAGGTGAATTCCTCTTCAACAGAGTCCCATCTTTGTTGGGAAATACTCGATAGGGCCATTCAGAGCAGATAAGTCTTGGGGACAGGGAGATGTTTGGGAGGGCTGGTGCCAAGGTCATGTGGGCAGGGCATACAGTGCAAGGAGATGAGGCTGTCTGCTCCCTGTGGAAGGATGGCGGTGGAGTTCGGAAGGAGAAGAGGGAGGAGGAGAGAAGTGAAGATGTAGAAGATGGCAGGCTATGGAGTGTTGTCATATGACCCCCTGTGACTCCTCTCTGATGTCATTAGCTTTAAGAGATGATTGAGGAGAATGACCAGTTACAGAACCTTCCAAGGACCTGAGCGTCCAGGTTGAGGGAAGAAAAAACAGAGATACATTTGTGAATTCAGGAGCTTAACCAAGTTTCATTAGAAAGTTTCCTCAGTCCCCAGAGGGCAAGGAAGTCTCAGCCAACATCTGGGTTCCATAGTTATCCCCTTTAAGACATTTTTTTTATATCTGAATCAATACAAATTGCTTGCTTTACTAGTTTTTAAATCTGGGGCGGCGGGGGGAGGTTGTACCAGGTATCTTATTGGTCCTCCTCAACTCAAGGCACCACGATTCTTTCTGTGCTGTAAATTATAGTTTCTGAAAATCTGGTCTTTGAAAGCCCTCCAGGTGGTCTGTGGTTGCCCAAATGCAATGAGTATGTTTTGTTTGAAGAGTATTTTCTGCTAGAGATTTGAATTCTCCATAAAAGGGTACAGAAATAGATATTTGAAAATTATAACCACAAAGATGGTCATATGCTAGGCAAACACTTCAAATGGTATGGGGGGGGGGTGTGTGCGCGCGTGCATGTGTGTTCTGTGGTTGCAAGCAGAAGCTTTGAGATGGGTGGTCCAAGGGATTCCTTTGTGTGGTTTACAGTATAGAAATCTCATTTGGGGTGAAGTTAAGCCAAACACTTTCAAGATGCTAAGAAATCAAACCACTTTGTTTGAGAATCTTTAAAATAGGTATTTGAAACTGATATTTCAACTGAGAAATGATCCTGACCCTAAACCTTTGCAATTTCATTTCTGACCATAATAGAAGGATATCTTGGCCACAACACCCTCATACCCAGTTTTATTTCTAGCAGTATATGTAACTTCTCAGCTTTGAAGTTTAGTGCTGAGTCATTTTTTAGGGGATGCTTTGGGAAGAGAAACAATTAGGAAATCCATTCTTAGAAAGGGTCTTTTGAAAACCTTCATTAATTTTTATCATTGTACTGATTTTTTAACTTCAGTATTAAAAAAATGCACTTCTATCCATTGAAGCCATGGCAAGAGTGAAGATCATTCAGACAGCAAGAATTTGGTGGCAGTATAGTTTTCTTTAATCTCCCCACATCATAAAAGCATAGCTACTAAGATAATAAAAAATATTGAGGAATCTTTAACAAAACTAGGTAAAAAGGAATTCCCACAGCCCCAGAATAGAATCTGGAAGGGTGTGCCAAAATATGGGACAGCAGCAGAGCCTGAGAGAGAAAGCAAAGCCCAGAAAGATCTTACGAGTAGAGATTCCATAAATTACCAGCAAAACTCACCCCTGAAAGGAGAGGATCAAACACTGTGTGAGAACCTAGGTGAGCAAATTGAAAAACCTCCGGTGAGAAAGGCTCCAGTTTGGTGGGAGAAGGCGGCTGGACTGTGTTGTTGTGGTAGACTGAGTCACGACCCCCCAGACATGTCCAGGTCCTAATCCCTGGAACCTGTGAATATGTTTCCTTACTTGGCAGGAGTCATAGCAGATGCAACTAAGGATGGATGGGGAGATGACCCTGGACTATCCAGGTGGGCCTAATATGATCATCCTCCTTATAGGAGGGAGGCAGGAGGATCAGAGTCAGAGGAGAGATGTGCCAACGGAAGCAGAGGTTGGAGTGGTGTGCTTTGAAGATGGAGGAAGGGGCTCCAAGCCAAGCATCAGGCAGCCCCTAGAAGCTGGAAAAGGCCAGGAAACGGGTTCTCCCTGAGAGTCTCCAGAGGGAGTCAGGTCCTGCCAACACCTTGATTTTAGCCAAGTGAAACCCGTTTTGGACTTCTGAACTCCATAATGGCAAGCTAATAAATTTGCATTGTTTTAAGCCACTGAGTGTATTATGGTTTGTTACATTAATAATAGGAAACTAATACAGATGGAAACTACATTTCCCACAATCCCCTTTACTTTATGTCCTGGTTAGAGCTGGTCAAAAGATGAACTCAGACAAGATTTGGGATACAGGAGCAAGTGAAGCAGGAGCTATTCCTCCCAGAGGGTCTTTGTGATAAGATAAAGTGCCCCATATGGTCCTTGCTCTCCTCCGCTCCCCGACTGGCTCCTCTGTCAGACTGCAGGCCCCACTGCAGCCCTAGGCCTCCCGTCAGATGCTTGGCTGTGAGCCCACAGAGGCCACAGCTACACCAAGGCGAGAGCTTCCTATAGACCCCTTCCCGAGTTCCCTCCATAGCCCCAGCTCAGCGCTGGACGCTTGGCTTCTCAGATTCCACTGCATTCTTCAACCTGTCCTCTAATACCAGAGCCTCGAGAGGATTAGATAATGTTGAAGTGTGTCAAAGTGATGATACCATTTACTTTGCAATGTGTAGAAGTTTCTATTGTCCCATAACCTCAACAACACTCGTTATTGACAGGTTCTTAAATTTTGACCAATTTGTAAGCTACGTGCTGATATAACCTGGTGGCTTTAATTTGCATTTCCCTGATAACTAATGAGGTCGAACATCTTGGAACACTTGTAATGGCCTTCTGGATTTACTGGTTTGTAAAGTGCGTGTGACTTTTGCCCATTTTTCTACTAGGTTGTCTGCCTTTTTCTTATTTATTCATGGTGATTTATATTCTCTCGATATTCATCATTTATCAACTATACGTATTGCAAAAATCTTATCCCAGTGGGTGGCTTGTCTTTTCACTGTCTTTAAAAAGTTCCTAACTTTAATGTGATCAAACTTATCAGTCGTTTTTTTTTTTAATGGTAAGTGCTTATTATGCATACACTAAAACCCAGCAATTCTACTCCTAGATATATGCCCTAGAAAAACTCATGCAAAATTCTCCAGATGTAGAAGTTTTCATAGCAGCATTGTTCCTAATAGGTAATAGGGGGGAAAAACAAACAAACAAACAAACCTGGATGCTCCCTAAATGTCCGTCAAGAAAGGCGATAAATCCATGTAGGCATATCCATACAAGGCAATGAACTATAAACACATGCATTCACATGGATTTATTTCACAAATATACTGTTAGTTGAAAAAAATAATTATTAAAATTCAAAATCAGCCCCAAGTTTAAAAATATGCTATTTGGGGGTAAAAATTCAGAAGTTCTAAGCTTTAAAGAAAAGGAAGGGGGCCATTCTCACAAACCTGAAGATTAAGGTTACCCCTGGGGAGGAGGGAATGTGAGATGAGAGGGGCACTCAAGGGGCTTCTAAACTGCTGGGGGTTCTAAAGTTCTTTTTATCCTAAAAGGTGTTTGCATAGTTATTTGCTTTATTATCATCTTTGAAATGAGCATATGCTTTACATACTCATTGTTATATGATCTATTTTTCCAATAAAATATTTTAACAGATATTATTCTCCTAACAACAGTATTTGTCATCTTGGTTTAAGGGAGCCCAATAGAAGATACAGAATATTTTAGGGGAGCAATTCCCAAAATCCGGCTGTGGAGCTGCTGTATTAGAATCATGCGGGCCGTGTATTAAAACTACAGACTGTCGGCCCCGACCGAGGCTACAGAATCAGAATGTCCAGGGTGGGGCTGAGGAATCCGTGTCATTTTGCCCAGGTAATTTGCTACCTAGTTAAGTTGGGCTACCCCAGAGCACTTAGTCCTTTGTAAGAATCTAAGGGCGTCTGTGGCTCCCTGCTGCCCTCTCGTGGCCAGTTTTTCCTCCCACCCTGAGCAGAGTAAGCCAGCCAAGGTGAGCAAGAGAACAGATTCTATCAGTGGTCTGTCCGGGGTTGGTGGTGGCTCTGAGGACTGCACAGTTGGGCTAGATGCCAAAACATGGCACCTAGAACCCACTAGCTTGTCTAGTATTTCTGTTGAAGTCCTAAGTGCTCTTGCCTGGCTTACTTTCTTAAACTTACCTGTGCTTCTCCTGATAGAGATGATCTCAGGGACCCACAGACCCCTCCTACCTGCTCCAGACACTCGTGCCACTTGGACCTCCTTGCCCACAGAGATGCTCTGACTGGATCCTGCCTCCCCACCTGGACCCACCATCCACACACACCTGCCCTGCGTTAGCTGGTCTCAATTTCTGCCTGAATGGACATCCATAGTCCCTTGGTCCTGGGCTCTCCTGAATGATCCTGTCCTGCCCTGTGACTTCCACAAGACCAGGGATGAAGAGAAGGTAAGACCCAAAGCCACAGAGAACTACAGCCCTGAGGCAGATGAATGTTCTGAGGTTGCATTGAACGTGTCCAGTGCCTGCTGCTCCCCCATCTCCAACTTGCTTCCTCCTCCTTTGTCTCTTTTCCCTCCTCAAATGATTAGAGTTTCTGATTCCTGACATTGAGCGTGGAATGGGCAGATTTGCTAAGAAAAATCATGGAATTTGTGTAACTCAAAGAAGGATCCTGGACCAGACCCCAGCGGCAGATTTTAACTGTACAGAGTTCTCACTCACTTTGCCCCATGTCTGTCCACAGCTCAGTCCCTGTGAAAATCCTGAATTTAGACCCTGTTATTGTACGTGGCCACTGACTTCTCTAGAGGAATAAATCCCTGCTCCCTCCCTGGGAGGACATAACCCACCGGTGAAGTATGAAGACAGTGAAGTATGATGATTGAAAATGTGAATTCAGAATAAGAATTGGATTTGGAATCTCTGCTTGCTTATATGCTGGGTGGTCTTGGGACATTATTTTAGTGTCTCTAAACCTCAATTTCCTCATCTGTAAGATGGCACTTAACGATACTTAATTCAAGGTTTGCCATGATTATGAAATGAGGACGTGAAAAAAAGTACTTATCACATTTCATACAGAATTACTAAATAAATATTATTTCTTATTATTTATTTTGAGGTCTAGACCTTTTAGGGCTCAAAGGGCTGTATCTTTGGGGTGGTGGCATTTGGGACCCTGGGCAGCATATGTTGCCCAAAGGCTCCTTTCTAAACAGCCAGCTCCCTGGGAACTCTCTAGAGCACTCTCCAGCCTGACTCCATTCCAACCCCTCCGAACACCATCATGACTCTGGCCCAGCAGCTGGAATCTTCAAGCAGGGGTCACACTTGTCAGTCAAGTCAGCCAAAAGCCCTGCTTAGTCTCTCCAGAATTCATACCCAAAGCAACCTTTGCCTGCTTCACTGGGGACATTTCCTCAAGTCATCCCTCTGTTCTCTAGGACACAGAGCCTGGAGTATTACTCAAAGTGCTGGGTGCACACTCACTTTGCATTTAATCATAAAGTAAACTCTTTATTCATAATTAGACATTGGGGAAAATTAAAACCTCACAGTAACCATAAGAGCTGAGGTATGAGCCTAACCTGCATTCATTGACTATATGATCTTGCTAATAAGAGTGATTTTCCTCTCTCTGGGCTTCTCACCTGCCAGGTGGAAGGGCTGGGCTGGACGGTTCAAGAGGCCTCTCCCAGCTCTGATGGGTCAGCACCAGGCTCACCAGTGCATAAGACAGTTATATGAGTCGTTTCTGCAGCAGCGCCCTTCTGAGATACTGCAGTTGTGCAACCAATATGTCTGTCTGCTTTATTGCTCAGTGAACTTCCAGGCTAGGTCCTTTTTTTTTTTAACTTTTTTTAAATTGGTTTATAATCATTTTACAATGTTGTGTCAAATTCCAGTGTAGAGCACAATATTTCAATTACACATGAACATATATATATTCATTGTCACATTTTTTCTCTATGAGCTACCATAAGATCTTGTGTAAATTTCCCTGTGCTATGCAGTATAATCTTGTTTATCTATTCTACAATTTTGAAATCCCATCTATCCCTTCCCACCCTCCGCCCCCTTGGCAACCACAAGTTTATATGCTATGTCTGAGTCTATTTCTGCTTTGTATTTATGCTTTTGTTTTTGTTTTTGTTTTTTAGATTCCACATATGAGCGATCTCATATGGTATTTTTCTTTCTCTTTCTGGCTTACTTCACTTAGAATGACATTCTCCAGGAGCATCCATGTTGCCGCAAATGGTGTTATGTTGTCGGTTTTTATGGCTGAATAGTATTCCATTGTATAAATATACCACATCTTCTTTAACCAGTTATCTGTTGATGGACATTTAGGCTGTTTCCATGTCTTGGCTATTGTAAATAGTGCTGCTATGAACATTAGGGTGCAGGTGTCATCCTGAAGTAGGGTTCCTTCTGGATATAAGCCCCGGAGCAGGATTCCTGGGTCATACGGTGAGTCTATTCCTAGTCTTTTGAGGACTCTCCATACTGTTTTCCACAGTGGCTGCACCAAACTGCATTCCCACCAGCAGTGTAGGAGGGCTCCCCTTTCTCCACACCCTCTCCAGCATTTGTCATTTGTGGATTTTTGAATGATGGCCATTCTGACTGGTGTGAGGTGATACCTCATTGTAGTTTTGATTTGCATTTCTCTGATAATTAGTGATATTGAGCATTTTTTCATATTGCTTATTGATCATTTGTATGCCTTCCTTGGAGAATTGCTTGTTTAGGTCTTTTGCCCATTTTTGGATTGGGTTGTTTGGTTGTTTCTTATTAAGTCATATGAGCTGCTTATATATTCTGGAGATCAAGCCTTTGTCGGTTTCATTTGCAAAGATTTTCTCCCATTCCGTAGGTTGTCATTTTGTTTTACTTATGGTTTCCTTTGCTGTGCAGAAGCTTGTAAGTTTAATTA